AAAAAATATTATCTAATATTTATGTTTATATAATAATTATATATTGTCAAATTTAATAATAAAAATAGTTTTAAATAATAAAATAAAATTTATTATTTCAATTATATTTTTATTTTTATATTGTGTGAAAATAAATATTTATATTATGTTAATTTGTGTGACAAATACATTCCCTCAATTTTCTATGTTGCGTGTTCACTTCTGAGAGCGGTTCAAAACGAACCGCTCTTCAAATTCGACTACTGAGAGCGGTTGGTTTTGAACCGCTTTCCAAATTCTCGAGGTCAAAGCCTGTAAGACTTTGGAGAGCGGTTTGTTTTTAACCGCTCTCCTAAGTCGACTTTGGAGAGCGGTTTGTTTTCAACCGCTCTCATATGTCGACTTTGGAGAGCGGTTCATTTGTAACCGCTCTCATATGTCAAATTTGGAGAGCGGTTTGTTTTCAACCGCTCTCAGAAGTCGACTTTGAAGAGCAGTTTTTTTTCAACCGCTCTCAGAAGTCGATTTTCTCCCAGCACATTTGAAGCAATTTACAAAATCAGGGGACGCATTTGCCACACACATTAACATAATATAAATATATAAACATAAATATTAGATAATATTTTTTTATTATATACAAGAACATAAATGCAAATTATGTATGGAATTCGGTTGCCCCAAAACCAAATTCCATTTGGAAATCAACTGTACGGACACAAATTTGAAGGCCAGAATTCGGTTTTCGAGAAGTCAAATTCTGTACGTAACAGTAAATGTGTCTACTTTCGTAAATATTTTTGGGACAGGTCTATTTCAGTATTTTTATTTTTTTTAATATTATTTTGGTTAAAAATTCACATGCATGCTTGGTTTTAGAATAAGTTGTTATAATAATATTAAATTTTGCTAATCTAACGGGTGAATAAAATTATATGTTAATGTTTATTATGCCTATTAAATTTTAGATAAATTAAATATTTATAAATATAGAACAGTTTCATAATCAACATTTATTTATATTTTAAAAATGTATATTAAATATTAAAATAAACTTATTCAATGAGTTATTATTAATTTATTTGCATGAGTTTTTGTATATTCAATTTATTCAAGATTTTTTTTTTTAATTTTACAGTAATATTGATAAAATTTAATGTTGATAAAGAGTTATTAATCGGTATAAATCTTGTTAGACTTATTCCTTAGCCAATTTGATCCCTCTTCTAAATTCAAAGTTGCTTTTTCTGCTTCTCGAGTAGGATTGAAAAATCAGTACCCCCAAGGAGGAAAACCATGAAGCAACATTAGGATTTTGAATGATGATAAAGTGATATGACCATCACAGGCAGTTTCTAGTGATAATTGAATGTGAATGGACAATTTCAAATTAGGTGAACCTCACCTCGAAAATCTAGGAACCTCCAATGAAGCATCCATTCCTAAAAAAATAACTAAATAGGTAATATTAGTTATTTTTTCCGTGAGACTAAAAATAATTTTATGTTCTAAATACATAATTGGATTTCGTTTTATTTTTATACAGTGGTTATGCGACCCTTCCTTAAAGTTGTAGTTGTTAGAAGTTATTACATTGAACAATATACATAAATACGTCATTAATGATGTACTCCTAGCTGTTTTTGATTGTGTCTCTAAATCTTACAATCTATGATTCAAAATTGGCTTGACGATTCATTATTTGAATTATAATTTGATAACCTTCACAACCTGATTAATGGCATCCGATATCTTCCATGACTCCTATAGCTTTACATTAAAATTTTGAGGAAATAGTTTTATTACTAGTATTTTGTTATGTTATTAAGCCAATCAAGTATGAAGATTCTTTTCCTGAAATTCAAGGTATGTCTTTGTCTTGAAACAGTCTTTTCAAGATTAAAAACAGCCAGATGATTTATGATGTTTTCTTTCCATTTTTCGCTATTGTACTGAGAATGAAACGACAGGTCCCTGCTACTTATGTGTTGAGGACATTAATTTTTCGATTTGAAACTTGAAACTCCAACCTCCCTTTGGTTACTAAAAGTTGAAAATATTTAAGTACCGATACATATTTATATATTGCTGAAACTCCGGGAGATTGTGCTGAAGGTTGTTGATATTTGTTTCATCTGCTGCCACCAACTATCCTTTATAGCAGTAAGTGTTGAGCTTTAAAGAAACAACATAAAAAAAAAATGGAGTCGAAGGAATGAGAAAGTTAAGATATATGTGCCATATTGGAATAACACCTATTAAGGAGAACATGACAAAAAATTAATTAAATTATTTTTGACATGTGCTAAGAAGGCTGTGTAGATATTAATAAGGAGAGTAAATTGCATGAATTTTTACCTTGTGGAAAGGGGTAGAGAGGGGGAGATTCTTTGAAAAACTTTGGAGGAATTATTAATAGGGATCTCATAACATCTCTGAGAATTTGATTTTTGACCAAGTCTAGGTAATCCATGTAATGGATCTCCCTTAGTGGGATAAGGATGTGTTATTTTTGTTGTATGCTCTCTTTAATTCATTAACCTTTTGGAATTAATTGACTTATAAGCAAGTATTTATATGGTAAATGCAGTGTAGCAATGGCTATTGTCAGGCCCTCAGGTAGCATCACAAGGTTTATTGTGAAAGGCATAGTTCAGGGCAGGTGTTAAATAAAAAGTTCAATTAAATTTGTGTTCCTCATTTGTAATAGAGTAACAGTTGCTGTTGGGCTATTGATTTTGCCTGGTTAAATTAGTAACGTCTTGCCACTCGTGTGCATGTGAGCCCACTTTTCCTGCTCTAATTTTCATTTATAGATTATAGAAGGAAAACATTAGGGTCTGTTTGGTTTCTGGAAATGTTTTCTATTTTCATTTTTAATAACAACACTACTACCTTGTTTTCATTCTGTTTCCTTTTTCTAAGATATTTCCTATACAAATATTTGAGAACAAGAATTAAAATGACAACTTAAAAATGTTTTCTGAAACAAACAGCTGATTATGCTTTACCTGCAATTTCAGCTCGCAGAGACATTTGGAAAAGAGCTTGTTACGACATCCGATGAAGCATATATGAGCGAATTTGATGTTACCGAAAGGATATGCTTAGGTTCCTGTTGAATATAATGTGTAGGTTGTTGAATAACAGCTTTTTATTTCCCCACATATGGTAGATATTTGCAATATCTCATATGATTTTGTCAGAGTTGATGTATCTGGACATTCTAGTAGAATGCAACATGTGTCTGGAGGAAGGGTTCTGGTCTCTGTTGTGGCAGAAAGTTGCATTGTGCTGTGATTGGGGAATGGTGGTGCATTGCATGGTTTGCATATTTGTTGTGAGAGTAAACTGTAGAGTGGATTAGAATTCTTGCATTTACTTGTATAAGAAGCACTTATTCTGGTTCATTAACACTCTCTGAAGAATGGAATTAAGGCATTCCTTCTCGTAACTATAAAAGAGAAAATTAGGGAATCACCTGTTTTTTCTGTACAGCTGATGTATTTATTGTGACATGGCATATAGATTCTGAAAGAAATTCTACTCAGGAATTAGCATAAGATTCACCAAGCATAAAAATTGTGTAACATTCCTCTTCCAGCTATTTTTTTTCATTGTTATACTGCATTTTCACTCTCAATCAGAACTTCCTTCAGTATTAAAGCTTCCTATACTCGTAGTTAGTTAAACTGAATGATAAAAATGTGTGTACTTCTTTCTTCATTGCTAATGATGAATACCATGTGTATATACTTGGTGTCTGCCATGGCTTTGGTATAAATAGGTAAAACAATTTAGAGAATAATTTTGGTTTATAGACACCTAACAGTGCTATCACCTATTTGACATCTCTCATTTCTCTCTACCTTTCTCTTCCTGGCACATAATTCATCGCATCACTCAAGGGGTGTCTACCAAACTTTTTTCTTTGGAGAAAGGTCATTTTTGGGATTGGTAGATGTAAAGGATTGAGGTAAGTATTTTACCTATTGAACTACCTCACATGTTATCTCCTTGGTCTTTGGGTGCTTCAACATGCCTTTCGGTATATTTTGATGGTAATTAATTAAGACTTTTGGCATTGTTTAGTATCAATACTTTACTATGGGAGCTGCTAGTGTATTCACTGATATACTTAAGTGCTTGCATTGTGATCTGTGTTGACCCTGCATCATCTTCAGAACCTCAATTATAAAATACAAGTCCGTAGTTTTCATTGATGAATTTCACGTGCCCTCACGTTTCTTTAAACTTGTTTTTGGTTGTTACTGGTTAAAGACATGAATCTATAGTGGCCGTGGTGGAACCGAGAGACATTCAATTTTCAAACAATATTGTGGTGGCTTGCTTCTAGAAATGAGAATAGAGAAACTTACACGCATTAATACCTTGCCTGAAGTAGTTGCATTTTGTTCGTGAAAATTAAGTTGAGTATTAATTTCACTAGCATTTTGTTGCATCATGCCATTTTCATTGATGCAGTGGTTGACCTTTCTCCATTAAATGTTGCTCTCACCACTGCATAATGTTGTTGACTTTTATCTCTTGAATGATCCTCCAACTTTGTCCAATATGATAAATCATTAATTTCCTTAATGAGCAACGGGCTTTCCTTTCGCTGAGACAGTGATGCTTATAATGTGACCAATTGTCTGCATCATGTTATGTTAATGATATGTGTAGCCACTCATGTTTGCCAGATCACATTTGAATGTGCGCAAACCAAAATCGATTTTCGATAATTTCTAACCACAAAACCTGCAACTTAGACAAAGAAACCTCATTGTAGGTTCTTTTTAATTTTGGAACACATACAAGCCTAGATCTATAATCTATTCACTGATAATCATATACAATATAGCTAGGATTTTCTGCATCACCTCCATGCGAGACAGATACTTAAGGAAATCAAACAGCACGAAAACTAAAAACATGCCATTTAGATTATATCTGATGTAAAAATTTTCAATTGAAAATAAAAAAAGAAGAATTTTGCATCTATCTTATCTGATCACCCATCATACACTAGTAAGCTGAAGATGTTGTCTTGTGTGATGAGTCTGTTGAAGCTGTAAACTTTTCAATGCAGCACCACCTGATCTTCTTTTCCAAAGACTATCCACCTGTTTTTCTTCCTCTGGCTTCTGCACTCTCTTGATCACAGGTAAAGGAGGATCCATATTTTCAATGCTTATGGGAACAATGTTCTCATTCCTACTACACTTGTGGTTATGGTTTCTGGGAATAGCTGCACTATTTACAGCCACATGTGGCCTAGTTCCACAGCTGGAGAGAATATGAGCTGTAGTAGTGGTGGTGGTGGTGCTTATGTGTTTTCCTGAGAAGAGCTTTTTGAGCTTAGAATACTTAACAGAAGGGGAAATGGAGATGGTGGTGGTGTTACTTTTGGTTGTGAGGAGTCCAGCTATTTTGTTGTGCCTCTTCACCTGACCCATGCAACCGATTCTTGGGGACAAAGGGTCATTGGAGAAGGTTCCTTGATGGTCTTTCCACTGTGGAAGACTCACATCTTTGATGGATGGCCTTGAACATAGCATTGGCAGAAATGTGCTTCTGTGATGGATGTGCAGATTCTGATGGTAAAAGTAATGATGGGGGTTGTGATGATTTTCATTGCTCATGTTTCCTAGATGATAATGGGCTAGAGCAAGGATCCAAGAGAGAGTGAGATGGTGGCACGGCAAGAAATTTGTAAGATGTGAATGGATTTGCTAAGTGTTTTGGGTGTTTAACTTTGAGCTTGTCAAAAATATATGTTCATGTGTATTTTTGACCCTTTTACTTGGTCCTCTAGAAAATAAAGAAATAACAATTAAGAAGATGACAAAACAGAATAGAAGAAATCATTGCAGAGAAGAAGCATCATCGATGACTGGTACACACAACAAACGAAGAGAACAAGGACAACTCTGGACCATTGTTTTGATTTTATCTGGTGTTTTTAACACACATCAGCTTTTGTTTCTGTGATTAAGCTCTTTAATACAAATTTAGGAGAGGAAAGGACTAATGAGTTTGACTTGCATCCTTTTGTGTGTGTGTGTGTGTGTGTGTGTGTGGAGAGATCTAAATCCTAACCAATTGATCATGCTAAAGTATACACGCTACTAGTGGTTAAATCATAGACTGAACAACCCCTTGTCCCCCAAAAGGGTCCACTTTATTTAATTACTTAATGGTGCCTTTTTTTGACTTATGAAATAAAATGGTTTACATGCATACATTATTTGTAGAGTAAGTAAACTGAAATAATTTTATTGTCTATCCTTGAAAAAATTGTATAATGAACTTCAATTAAGTATAACTCAGTTGTATCATACTCTTGTGGAACACCCAAGAAATTTAAATTGGGGATGGTTTGGTTGTGTTACGGCTGCAATTGTTTCAATTCGATTAAACTCAAGACTAGTGATTATGATTATTGGTGTTTGAAACAAAATTTCTGAAAAATTGCTTTTGCGAGGTAAAGAGTAAAAACAAATAATATAAATAATGGCGAACGTATTATGAGCTAGAGCCACGTTTACCTAGAAGCCAATAATCTGGGGTGGTCTTTGCTATAATGGACATTGCATCAAGTGAAGTTTCCTAAACTATAATTAATGATGGTTCATGGTTACTGTGTTTGTCTTTATGTCCAGCTCTTCTTTATTTAGCATGTTTTTAATCAAGTAAAAATGATTCCTTTGTATATTAATTATATATAGTTCTTTTTTTGTTTCTTATTAAAGCTTCCCCAAGTACATCGTACTAAAATAGAAAGAGTTCACATAAGGGAAACCTTTAGATATTATTGATAAGTGATTTTAAATTTTATAAATTATAATTTATTAGCATTAGAGTTTTTTTTTTAAATATCCAAAATTAGTAATTTTTTTTTATAAAAGATATTTATCCAAAGTTTTTTTTTAGTGATTTTAAGAAATTATAGATATATTTTCTAACTCACACCTGCACACACAATTATAATTAGGGGTGTCCATGATCTGTTTTATTTTACTAATTCGTTCTAGCCTCAAGTTAATATTTTGTATATTATAATATAATATTTATATTGAAATTGTTTATTTTAAAATATATTGTTAAATAGGAGGATCAAATCACACCAGTATAAATTACACTTATTATTCTTACACCATTAATAATTTAATATAGAAAATAATTTTTATTAATTTAATCATTAAATTATAATTATATATTATCTAAATTATTTGTGTTAAATTTTATTAAAATCAAATATTTATAAAATTATTATCAAAGAGTTCTAGTTTCATAAATTTTACTAGTATATATGCCATTATTTTAATATATAAATATATATAAATAAGATATTAAATAATTGAAAATTAATATCAAATTTTGTATATATGACTATGTGTTTGAAACTTTTAATTTAATGGTTATTTTTATAATTAAATTATTCAATAAAAAAATTACTAAACAATATAAGAATAAGTATAATTTATAGTATGATTTAATTTTTTTCTTGTTAGATATATTTAATTTTAATTTTATAATTTAGTTATATATGATATTAAAATTAATATATTTTATTTATAAAATAAGTTAATCTGATCTTATTTTAATGTTATCATTTCAAAATAAAAAAATAAATTTATCAAAATTTTAGAGCAGGTAAAAATTTAAAAAATACATGGATCCCATGATGATCTCATGTACATTCCTGATTATGACTGATCTCACTAACATTGTAGGACGTCTATTGCCAGATCGACATGTGTAGCACCTCTAAAATGCGCACTCAAATGTGCAGCACCTATTATCATTGACAACTCTGAGACTACTACATCCTTAATTTGAAGAACAACTTTATTTATCTCAAAAGTTTTGTTATATTTTTTATTATTCTATAAAAAATATATTGAGTAAAAATAATTCATATTTATTATTTTATAACTATAAAATTACTTAATCTTTTCTTTATTTATTAATTATTGGAATTTGTTGATATAAAGAATAGAAGAATTTAGAATTATTTTTATCTTATAACATATTTAGTGCTAAATATAATACTTTTTAAGAGAGTTTATTATGATTTTCTTATAATACCTAGAAAATTAGAGAAAATAATTAAGAGAGACTTAATGATAAATACTCCATCCGTTCCTCTTTTTTGTTTCAAAAAAAATTGTTATTATTTTCTGACATTTTTAAAGTTTAAGACGACATTAATTATTTTTTATCAATTATACACTTACTTCCTCTTTATTGTAGAGAGAAAAAAAAAAGATAAATTATTGTCAGTAATTTTTTTGGTGGAGGAAAAAAATTAAAAAATTGACAAGAGTACGATTAGAAAATGACTAACAAGTTCATTCTAAATCATATAAATTAATTTTTTAAGTCTCCGTATGCAAACCTTAAATTCATTATAAATCATGATAATTATTACTTTTTTAGGTATGCAAACTTTAAATGTCACATGTTAAGAATACCGAATTTAATGACACTACGTGATTAAGATAAAAGTTAAGTATAATACTGTAAGTATGTTGATCGTTATTTTTCAATCAAAATTAGTGCTCACGTTAGGATGTCAACTTTTATCATATAAATTATGATGAAGTGTCTTTTTGTTCTGCAATTTATTGCTTCAATTAATTATTTTTCATAAAAATACCCTTATTAATTAAATATAAAGAAAGTTTGTTATGAGTCTTAATAATTTTAAGTATAAATTAAAAAAAAGTATTCAAATTATTAATAAAATTTATTCTATTAATGAAATTAACCATTTTTCTTAATTCTTATGAAACAGTTAAATGATCTTACATTTAAGAGAAGATGTAATTGATATCTTCATCAAATCCTGTATCTCCTGAAAATGAAAAATAAAAACAAAAGAATGGTCGAGTCAAAGCATTTGAAGGCAAGTCGGTGTTATAGTTCTGTTGTCGAATAGTGGGTACGGTAACAAGTGATGATGTCGGCAAAGCCTTCAAAGCCTCAATTTCTCCCTCTCCGAATGAGAACCCTAACCTACCAATTTGTGTCACTGAAAAAGAACATGAAAACTCGTGTGGTTCTATGATGTTACATGATATAAGAGCCAGCTATATTCGAAGCACGAATGAGTAAATATTAACATTTTTGTTATAATAAAGTTGAGTTCTCTCTTACACATCCAAATCTCAAATCTTGTTTTACATATTTGTCAAGAAGAAATTGGAGGAGGATCCGCTATGCACGACACAGTGCTACCAATCTTTCTTTGTTTTACATGACTCAACCGATTAATGTTTAACGTATGTATTTCTAAGATGACATTTGTTACATTTACCTTTGATTCATTGTATCATCAATTTTTCGATTTGGATATAAACTTTTCTTGAACTCTGATATTTGAAATTGAATTGAAGTTAGTTCTGTTTTGATTGAGGATTTAGAATTTAGAGTTTAGGGTTTAGATATATTTAAAAATTCTGTCAAAATAATTTTAAAAACGGCATAATTGTTTTAAAAGGTCACGAATAAAATAATTTTTTTGTTGGTATATTTAAATTTGATTGAAGTTTAAAGAAAACAACATAGGTTGAATAAATTTAGCATACAACTTTGCTGGAAAACTTATCGTTTAAAACATTCTTAAGGATCCCTTTGAAAAGTTTTTGAACAAAGGATATATTTTATGATTCTGATATATAAATTTTTGTTTTTAGTTTATTCTAATATATATATTTTTAATATAACTTATCAAAATTAAATATTTTTATTAAATTCTATAAGTAAATTTATAATATTCAGTATAATATAAAAAAATTTATGAAACGAGCTATTCAAACATTTCCTAAATTATCGTCCATTTACAGTGCATAGCTTAGAAAGTCAAGAAAATGGTTTACCAAAAAAAAGAAACAAACGATTAGGAAAAGTGTAAATGGGGAACCAATCACATGCAAAATAGATAGATTAGGAAATAGCTAGTAACGATGATGCATTTGCTTGCGGCCGACAGCCATCAATGTATTCACGTGGGAGGCACGTGATGCGACATTTTTGGTATCTTCTTCTTGGCTTATACAAAGTGTATTTTTATTTCAAATTCATTTTTTACTGTCACTTCACCAACCATGTTTCTATCCAATTTTAACATAGATACATTTTAACCTTTTTTTTTAACAAGATTTCTTTACATTTTAAAGTGAACCTGTATATAAATTCTTATAAAAAATAAAAATAATATAAAAATAAAATATTTCTATAAGTTAAAAATAATTTATTTCTTTTAACTTTTAAAAAATAAAATAAAAAATTTATTTTTTATATTATTCTTTTAATAAGAACTTATCCATTAATTCATTAATGAGGGCTAAATTCAAATTATAAAATATTTATATTTACTTCATTTAAAAAAATTAAGATTAAAACATGTTATTTATATTACTTCCCTTGACCAACTTTTTAGAATTTTTTAACCTTTCCTGCATTTAGATAAAGCTTATGATGAATTCACTTAACTGTATAAATTATGATTTTTATAATTTTAAAATTTATTTTAATTATTTTTTCATATAAATTATTAATATAAACTTTTAATTTATTTTAATGTTTTATAATAAAATTTGTGAGATAAATATTTTATGATCCCATAGCCGATTTT